CTCTCTCTCTCTCTCTCTCTCTCTCTCTGTCTCATTGTGTCATATGGATTACTGTTAATTTATTATGCTGATCTGTTCTGTACGACATCTATTGCACGTCTGTCCGTCCTGGAAGAGGGATCCCTCCTCAGTTGCTCTTCCTGAGGTTTCTACCGTTTTTTTTCCCCGTTAAAGGGGTTTTTTTGGGGGAGTTTTTCCTTATCCGCTGTGAGGGTCTTAAGGACAGAGGGATGTCGTATGCTGTAAAGCCCTGTGAGGCAAATTGTGATTTGTGATATTGGGCTTTATAAATAAAATTGAAAATTGAAATTGAAATAAAACCCTCCACAAATACTTTGAAACGATGTTCAGCTTGTCACTCTTTCATCTCGTCGTGCCGTATCTATGCTTGCTAGCTAGCTGGCTAACTTCTAGGCAGCCAGCTACATGAAGGTGAGAGCCAGCAGATACAGAAAGAGCTGAAGAATGCTTCCCTCAGCTGGTAAAGGGAGAACAGAGCTGGAATCAGACAACCAGCAGCTGAAACATTATGATAGAAACATCATGTCAAATGACTGTACAATTAATAAAAGATCTAATGTGTAGGATTCAGAGATCTTTAACAGAAATTAAATAAACTAAGCACAAAAACTAATAAAATGTGTGTTTGGTAGATTATTTCTTTGTTGTAACAAAGCTTCTTCGCAATAAATCTTATGCCGTTGGAAAGCCTGTTTATTTCCCTTTAAAATGGTTACACATTTGTAAGGAATGTGCATTTGTGGTATGAGCAGCAGAGCTGAGTATGTGGGTTGCGCCCATGAAAAATTTGCCAAATCTTCCCAACCAATGCCAAACAGCTTTTTTTTCTTTTTTTTTTTGCAAATGTCATTACTTTTTGTGCTTTGTTTATAATGTTAATACACCTGAAAACATGGTTAGTGTTTTCTTTACCATAGTTTATGTCTACACAGGAAGCAGGTCCTTTTCTACAGAGATCGCCATGTTGCACTGTATGTTTCTACAGCAGCCAAGAAGGGACAAACAAACACTGACTCTAGATAGAGACATTCATGCTTTTGTGTTGGCCACTGTAGTTCTCCTACATACTTGTCACATGGAGAAGTTTCAGCTGGTTGTAATCTGCAGTCTCACTACTAGATGACACTAAATCCTACACACCAGACCTTGATTAGAAGTCAGCCCATTTTCTCAGAAGTATGTTTGCTTAGTTTGTAGGTCTGCTAATAACGAAATTAAATATGAAGATTTGAATAAATCATACACATTTTAATTTTTATATCTGTGCATATAGGGAATGAGTTTAGTTTTTAACATGATGTCAAACAAAGTGCTGCTGTGCTAAAGGCTAAGACAGCATCAGACAGCCTGGTGTTCAAATCAAACACTTCTATGAGAGCTACACTGAAATATGTCAAGCCACAGAACATTTTGTGATTGTTCTGTATTCGACAACATATTTTAACACACAACAACAGTTTAGTTCCTGGAATACACCAACAGTTATCGTGTCACTGGAAAGTAAGGAGAGCAGAACATCTGTATAATTTAGTTGTTCTTTCAATAATTTAATAGGTGTAAACACCTGTAAGAGCATATAAAAAAGCCTGAGCTTTAAGACACTTGATGTTACTGCAGAGTAAAAGGTGCATTCTCAAAATGCCTTTCTGCTCCACTGTCTCTCAGATTAACTCATATCACAGCAGTGCCTGGATAGTGTGACGTGTGTGGTTGTGTTGTTGCCGTGGTCCTGCCAGATGCCTCCTGCTGCTGCTGCCATCATTAGACCTTAGTCATACTTCTACTGTTATTATTACACATATGATTATTGTCACACGTGTATACTATCAGATATTAATATATTATTATTAATTATGATATTATTACTTTCATTAATGTTGTTGTAAGCTACTGTCATTACCGTCTATCCTGCATCTCTCTCTGTCTCTCTCTCTGTCTCTCTCT